AGCAGGTGTGGCTGAGCACAGCCTGGATCCCAGCTGCGTCCGTAGGCAGGGCTCTGGGGAGGATGCCACCCAGCCTGGAGACCAACCTCTCCCGGTCAGTGGGCACTAGCAGGGTACCCTGTGTGCATGCCATGCTGCTCCACTACATGTCGAGGGATGGTGGCAGCCACCCCGTTGCTGTTTTCACTTGCTGCTTTCTGGGACTGCCCACCGTGCCATCCTGACCCCATTCTCAGAGTGGCCTGGTGGCAGCCCCCAGGAAATCAAAGTAACATGCGGGGAAGCCAAGTGGGGCTCGGACCTGGGCTGAGGTCTGGTGGGCAGTCTCTGGACCTCCTCAGAGTGGAGACCGACGGCGAGCCCCAGCCAGGCCCCCTGGGAGGACAGTGCTGGTCAGAGGTAAGCCTTTTCCCACACCATGGGAGCAAGGAGCCTGAGCGCGTCCAGGCTCCGAGGACACCAGGGGCAGATACACCTGCTCATTGGCAGTGGAAGGTGCCCCTGACCAGTCACAGACATCACCCCGATTCTGGGGCCAGCACCTTGGAGGGGTTCCTTTGCACGTTGGTGGGTGACACCTGAAGCTCCTGCACGACACCACTTGAGCACTTACTACTTTGCCCAAAGGGTGCCTCCTCCAAAATGCTGAAATATTTTTTATAAACATGACTTTTGGCTTGTAAAAAAATTTGTTTCCATAGTGCCAGCGCCAGTCTCGATCAGAAATCATTTTCCAATAAAGCTCTACTGTCTGTCACCAGGGCAGATGACTCGGAAAATGTGAGCTTCCTGCTTGAGGTCAACTCTTAAACGCCCTTCAGCCACCGTGTCTTGCTGATAACACCGGAGCAACTGGGACAAGGTGGGTCTGTGTGTGTTGTGGGGAGAGCGTGCGGTGCTTCCACTCACCTCCCTAAGGCCCTGGCAGGCCGGGGTGGGCAGGCAGCTGTCAGGAAAGCTGGGGGGGTGGGGGCTTCCTGACCAGGGCCGGCACCTGCCACAGGCCTGGTGCCTGGGTGACCCCAGCTCTGTTCTTGGGGGAAGTGTCCCAGGCTGTCCCAGGGGCAGTGGGGGGCGTTAACCCCCAGCAGCTGGGTGAAACCAGAGAGCAGAAGCCCCAGGGGGACAACGTTTACGTGTTGCCCTGGCGTGGCCATCCCAGGAGCACCAGGCCTCAGGGGCCTCTGTTACACCAGGCGGTGCAGGCCTGCTCTGGGGTCCGGGTCCCTTCCCCTGGCAGCCGAGGGTAGACGAGGCCCACTGGGAGGGCTGAGGCCAAAGCAGAGTAGGCATCCCCTCTGTTCTCTACTCAGCCAGGTCCCAGTCCCCGGGGTCTGTTCAGGAGCAGCAGCTGCTCACACAGATGTCACACACACTTCCCCGAGCAGCCTGAGCTCTGGGTGCACAGGAAGGTGTGGTGGGGCCTTCCTCTGCCGCAGGGATGCCTGGCACCATTCCTCCTGGAGGTCCCCTTGTCTGGCTTGCAGCAGTGTGGTGACACTTGCAGGAAAGTCTCTGAAGCGGCAGAGGCTGAAGCCACAGCCAGCTGAGCCCCTGTCTGGGACTCCAGACAAACACCTGCAATGTGGGGGCAGGGCAGACCGGGGGCCCCCACATCCAGGCTCCTCCCCTTGGGAGCAGGCCCAGCCGCAGGGCACCTCGTCCCGGGGCCCTGAGACCACCCTGCTATGACAGCTCTACTTGTTTGCACAGGTGGGGTGGGACCCTGCCTGTTCCCTGGGGGTCGGAAGCATCTAGGCCAGCCTAGGGTGCAGCTGGCGCTCAGGGAGAGTTTAGTGAGTGAGCCTGCTCCCGGTCGTGAGGTCTGCACTGGCGGCTGGGTGAGGGTGACCTCAGTGCCATAGCAGGACCGCTGGTCACTGGGGGGCCTTGACTCAGGGGCAGGGGCTCTGAGGCTGGAAGTGGGACAAGGGGGGCCCAGGACGAGGGGCTGGGCTGAGGTGAGGAGGCTGAACGGTGCTGTGGGGGCCCCTGCAGACAGGGGTGCAGGGCAGAGCTCCAAAACTCCAGGGCCTGGGACAGCCAAGAGTCCCAGCACCCCGAGGGACGTCTGCCTGTGGTCCTTGGAGAGGAGCTGCTTGACCCCAGCGTGGGCAGGCATCACCCAGGGGCCGCGGAGGGCCAGGGCCAGGGGCTGTCAGGCCTGGAGCAGCGCAGGGGGAGGGACCTGAGGGAGCCTAGGCATCTGCTGCCACCAAGTGGTGGACGGCTTGGTCGGCTGGGCGAGAGCTCCCAGGGCCCGGGTGTCCCGGAAGCCCCTCTCAGGCCTTCTGCCCGGCCCAGGCTCCCGCTGGCCACTTGGACTTGGTCACCTCACTTTTTCTCTTAATTAAGGAAACCAGGTTCCTCCCTTTTGCAAGGAAACGTGGTGTTCCCGGGGTCCCCAGACCCGACTTCCTGCTCAGCTCCCCCTGCTCGGAGGCCTGCCCTGCGACGGCAGCGGCCTGGGCCTCCCTGCCACCCCCGCTCCGTCCCCCTCTGCGCTGGAGGGCACCCTGGCCTCAGTCCCCCAAAGGCTGGGCGCAGGGCACCTTCCTCTGACGGTCACAAAAGGGGGTGGGCTGGTGGGCTGGGGGCAGGCCCGGTGCCCGGGGGGGTCGGAGTCGGGGGCCTGTGCGGTCCGGCGGCGCTGCGGAGGGGCCCGGGGGGCAGGGCCCGGGGCAGGGGGCGGGGCCTGCGTCCGGGGCGGGGTCCGGGGTGGGCGCTCACTTCCGCCGGACGTGAGGCCCCGGGGCGGATGGAGGCGACGCGGAGGCCGCGGCTGAGGCTGAGCCGCCGGAGGCCGCCGCCGGGGGGCGGGTGAGGCCGGGGGCCGGGGGCCGGGATGGGGGCTCGGTGTCTCCCAGCCGAGCTGTGTCCGGCGCCCCAGCCCCCCGCCCCCCGCCGGGCGGCCCGACCCCCTCCCGCTGAGCCTGCCCCCCTTACCCAGCAGCCGCGCCGAGACCCTCCTCGGGGGCGGCGGCGAGTCCGCGGGGCCGTGGGCGGAGCTGCTGCGCGCAGCGCGCGCGGATCTGAATCCGGACGGGGAGCTGCCTCCGCTGCCCGCGTTCCCCCGCCAGGTGCGCCGCGGCGGCCGGGGGCCTCCGGGCAGGGTTGGGTATCGGGCGCCGGGGCTGTCCCGGCGCGGCCCGACGACCCTGTTTTGCAGGAGTCCGGCCGGCGCCCGGAGCCTGCCGCGCCCCCCGAGGCCTTCACCGTCGGGCTCGAGACCTTCTCCTGGACGCCCCTCCCGCCGGCGCCGAGGGGAGGCGGGGGCCTTGGCCACTCTCGTCACGTGCTCCGTGGGGCCGGGGGGCTTCCGGGGTCCCCCGCCCGGTCCCCGCAGCAGTGCCTTGCCCCCAAGCTCCCCAGCACCCAGGAGCAGCGGTTGGTGGATGGGGCTCAGATCCTGCGGAGTTGCCCCATGTGCCAGGCTGACTTCGCCCCCGGGTGAGTGCCACCCTGGGCTTCCCAGGCCCTCTGCTGCCCTCTTTGGAAGCCACGGCCACTTCAAGGAAGCTGAGAGGTGCCTCCTGCGTGGAAAGTTGGCAGAGCAGACTGCCAGCCAGCCAGGGGGCCATCCCGTGAGGCCCTGTGACAGGAAGGCCCGCAGCAGGAGCACCCGGACTTGGGGGCCCTGGTAACCCGTGTCCCCAGCTGCCACCGTCTCCAGGACCAAGCCAGGCTGCGGGTCACTGAGCAGCTTCTTGTTTAAATAGTCCCCCAGCACAGGTGCCTTCCTAGGGGTGGCTTGGGGGTCTTAACAAGGAAGCTTTTGTTTTGCGCCTAGAGATGCTTTCACTCCAAAAACCCAGTACACAGTTTGCTTTTTTTTTAAGTAGGGAGTTGGAATCCAATGTTCTGTTATTAAACCCAAAGCACCCAGCTTGCAGGCCGTGTGTCGCACAACCGAGGAGACAGGTATGGTTGCCACTGGTCAGGTGAGCGGACACCAGCCTGTCTGCGTTAGCACATCCCGTCTTCAGAAGCAACAGCAGCCCTGCGGGTGAAGGTAGCCCAGTCCAGACGAGACCAGCAGACTAGTTACCCAAGTACAGGACGCGCACCTGCCGAGGAAGATCCGTAGGTGCTCCTTCCGGTTCAGAGATGGAGTCTCCGTCGGAAGCCAAACCTCTGACCTCGGACTCCCCCAGCCTGGGATGTTTTGTGTCCTGGCTGTGCCCACGGCAGCCCACACAGGCTCCAGTGGCTGCAGGCGCTGCTCGGCTGTGCGGGTGCGCCCGCGGCTGTCCCCAGGTGCGGCCTCTGCGTGGGCTGCAGCCCCTGCCATGGGGCCTGGTGGAGACGCCCTGGCACCCCGGGAGGCACCTACGAAGTCGCGGTTTCCAGACCAGGTGTCTCACTGGACATGCCTCCTGCCTCTGCTGCTGTTTGGTGTTGCCCTAACCTGCTCATCCGACTCGCTTGCCAATTCTGACGTAGCAGAGGGCGCTTTTAAAACAGTGAAGTCGTCATGATTTGTGCCATCAGAACAATGTCCGGAGCCCTGCCGGAAGCCCACTGCCTGGAACACGGCCCCTGCCACTGCCCCAGCACTCCACACCTCCTCCCCCTCTGAGGGGGCCTCTGTCCTGAGGGCACTTTTGGGTGTCAGTGCGGTTGGGTCCAGGTCTCAGCGTGTCTGGAATGCCGCCACGTTCTTCACTGTATCATGGATTCCTTGGGGCTGGGAGACAGCCAGTCCCACATGGCTAAACACGAGGGCCCACGGCGCCACAGGCTGGGCCGCAGGAGGGTCCTGCTGGACACAGCCACCCAATGGTCAGCCTGTCCCATGACTCCCTGGAAAAACGTTTGCTCTTCGTGGTCCTTGAGATGTTCTCTGAGCAGTGACCTTAGCCAAGCACCACCCTTCTGAGCAGTGGGGTGGGTGGCCCGGAGGCACAGAGCAGAACCCAAGGGTCAGTGGTGCTCCTGTGTGTGCCTGGTCTCTGGCCAAAGCTGTGGGAGACATGTGAGTCCCAACGTCCCACCCAAGCTGCTGAGCCTAGGGTGGCACAGGGAGGCCAACTGATGGGGACTCCATGTTGCAGGCAGGCAGAGAAGCATCACTGGTTTGAGCTGGTGGGCTTGACTGCTCTGCAGGGGAGGGTGGCCCCCAGCAGTGGTGTGCAAGGGGCACCACACTGAGCTACATGGCTCCCCAGCAAGATCTGGGCTCAAGTCTGGCCTGAAATGGCCTGCTGGGCCCTGTAGTCACGCTGAGCACCTGACCTCTGCCACCAGCTGCCACTGAGCTCCTCAAGCACATGGCCATGGTCATCTCAGGCCTCTGGCCTTGATGGGGTCAGATGAGGTGAGGGACGGGGCGTGTCTGCTCTGTGACATGCGTCCATACCCCTTTGCCCACCTCACTGGACACTGAGGAGGCTGGCCCACAAGCTTCAGAGCCCACAGAGCTGCAGGCTGGCAGCCCAAGTTGATGAGACCCCTCCTGGGGGCTCAGCCCGTCCATTTTGTGTCTGCGTCTTGTGGACAGTGGCCCCCACCCCAGCCAGCAGCCGCCGGATCTCCATCAGGGCCCGCAGTTGGGAGCCTGGCCGCCCGCTGAGGCAGAGCCCCTGACCACCTCGCCCAGCTGCCGAGGACATGGCTGTGTGCAGGCGGGCATGGGAAAAGCCCGCCATTGCCTTCGTGACGTGGAGAGGCCCCTGGTGCTGCCTGGTGCTGCCCCGGGTCTGCCGATCCCCTCTGCCTGTGGGTGGGCTGCCAGGCTCCAGGATGGGCTGCTCACCAGGAGCTATAAGGCTCTCAAGCGAAGTGGACGCTGGAATCCCTGGGGGGCTGGTCCAGACACAGGGTGCTCCCCACCTCAAACATAGGCTGGGGTGAGCCTGAGAACCGGTCTGACTGGTGCCCCAGTGCCGCCTGCCCAGGGCACACCGGGGTCCTAGAGGACCATCCCCAGGCAGCAGGGTTTGGAAAAGCCTTTATTGGTTGGCGTGGCCCCACCTGGGCCCTTTCCTCATTCTGACCAGCCACGGAGACCGTGCCAGGCTTCCCTCTGGCTGGCCTCTGGTGCAGTTGTGAGTACCCGGGAGGGCGTGAGGCAGACAGCGTGCTGTGGCAGGGGTGCCACCCAGGGATGAGTGTTTCCCTCTGCACAGGTGACTGTCTCGTTCTCTGTCTCGCAGGCTGGCCCAGCTGGACATCGACAGCCACCTAGCGCAATGCTTGGAGGAAAGCACAGAGGACGTGGTGTGGTGACCCAGCCGGTGCGGAGGCCCAGCAACGCCCCGCAGCCCCGACCCTGGCCAGAACCACCCGCACTTGGGGCTGCCTATGAAGACGTATCAGCTGACCGGCCGCATCATGTCTCTGTGCTGAGACCCAAATATTTGGTTTTCTCCTCTAGGCAGAGCGTTGCCCTGTGGTCGGGGCACCAACAGTGCCCGGCAGGTGCGCTGCCCATTTATTTCCCTGGCTCCCCAGACCTGGCCCATGTTCACACCGTGTTACCCACTATTCACTACACAGGGCAGACGACTCCAGGGGCAGGTGTGGTCACCGCTGGGCACTCTGGCCCCTCACCATTGACCAGCTGATCTGCCGGAACATTCTGTGTCGGCCATGTTTTATTTGGGTTATAAGCAGAAAGTGGGGCTAAAGCATGTCTGTATGCAGTTCTGCAAAATAATATGCAATTCTAAGATAAACTTTCAGAAGTTGGTATTTTCCTTTCAAAGAGCCTCACACAGGCTGGGATGAGACTATGTCCAAGGTGCCAGCCTCCTGTGTGATTCTAGCTCCGGGGTTCTGGAGAAGGCAGGGCTGCACAGGCAGGACTCGGGGCAGTAGAAGGGCTCACATCTGTGATGGGACACGTGTCATCACCTTGTCCAAACCCAGAGACGCGTGATGCCAGGGACACAGCTGTGGGCTCTGGGCCGTGCCAGGTGCGCCCTGGTGTGGAGGGGATGCCAGGGAGACACAGGGAATCTGCACCTTCCCCTCAGTTTGGCTGTGAACCTGAAACCGCTCTTAAAAAGTATTTTCTAAAAAACGAGCTGCAAAACACCTGCCTGTGGCAACACCTGCTTTTACCAAAAACAGTAAGAGCGAGCATTTCTGTTAAAGGCTGTAGTAGATGGGCAGGAACACCAACAACCTGGGCCCAAGGGTGAGCCTGTCCACAGGAGGAAAACTGGCTGGCGAGGCGAGGGCTCCACTCACTACAAAACCATAGGGACGAATCCGCCGCTTTACAATCACGAAGCCACGGGTATCCAGGAGGCGTCTCCAAGGACACACCGCGTGGCAACCAGGCATTCGCAAATGCACAGGCTTGCTTTCCCCAACCCCACGTGACCCAGCACCTTTCATTTGTAAAACGTGACTATAAAAACCTCCCCATCACCGGGAGCATAGCATTATGCACACGTTTTGTACACGAGCAACCAGCTGGTAACTGGGTAGCCATTTGGAAACACTGCAGTGTTGAAATAAATGCCTTACATTTGAACCAGCCCAGGGCCCCTGCACCCAACATGGCAGATGACCCTGTCAGGACAAAGGGCTCTCAGAGGCCACTGGCCACCCCCTGCCGGGCTCAGCAGAACCCCCCAGCTCCCAGTGACTGCTCGCACACCCCGGCACTCCGCTCACTGGTCACGAGTGGACACATGGCCTCGGGCTGGGGCTCAGCTCCTGGACGTCAGCATCAGGCTGTTTACTGCCTGTGGGAGCCCTAAGGCGGCTCTCGAACTGCTCTGGGGATAATTTCTACCTTTGGAGGCAAAAGCCCTCCTGGTTCTGTCAGATGTTTGGGCGCCGGCGGAAACAGGCTCCGTGCTTTGTAGATGCTGCTCTGTGGCCCGGGGGGCCAGAGACCTCAGGCGGCCAGGCTGGGAGCTGGGGAGCATTCGGTGGCCCTACCCCAGCACTACAGGCCTGTGGGCACGACGCGAGTGGGGTGCCAGCAGGTGGGGCTGTGTCCCCACCCACACGTCATGGCCAAGCTGGGACGGCACCCCAGGGGTGGTGTCCCTGCCACATGGTGGGGGCCAGAAACCCTGCCTGTGCCATCTCCCCTGGCCTGGAGGGGTGTGTGGCCCTGGGGGACTCGGTGCCCCTCTCCTGTACCCAGGCCTCGCACCACATCTAATGCTTGGGGACCTGAAAACACTACAGCGATTCACCTCCTACAAACCTTCAGTCCAGCTTTCCACACCCTCCCTCGCCTAAGGACCGCGATGTGTGGCACATGCCCCGCACTGCCGAGGAGGTGTGCTGTCGGGAACGGTGGTCTGCTGGTCGCTATTCTAGGTCCAGTGTTTTCCCTTACGGCTAGCGCCCGTCACACATACGTCGTAAGTTTTCTAATTCTGAGCATCATTATTACTGATGAAAATACTTCCATAAATCTAACACATAGCGAGACGCCACGCAGGCACTGCTTAGTATTTTCAGAAATGCATTTTGTGCAGGTTTAACTTGCAATCTTCTCTTTCTTTTTGGTTGACTGGTGCTTTAGTGAGCCATGGGTTAGAATCGTTATGACCCAGTTTCTTCGAGGTCCAGCACCCTGGTCGGAACCAGTGGCCCGTCTGGTTAGGGTGTGGCCCTGGCATTAAACTACGGGGGCTACACACGCGCTTGGTATGAACACGCTTGTTAAATATTAGTAACAGGAACTTACCGGGATCCAGAAAACGTTCCGAGTTTGTACACCTCCTTCACTGCGGTGCACCCCTGCAGGAACTTAATGCCCCTGGCCCCAGCCCGTCGTCTGCACACACGCGGTCGCAGTGCCGTCGGGCAGGACCTCACCCCGAATAAAGGCATCAAGGGAGCAGCTTCAACATCATCGGCACACTTTATTCCTCAGGACATTACAGGCAGCTCTCCTGGCGAGCAGGTCAGGTCTCTTTCTGTGGAAAGTGTGCCTTCGAAAGTGTGGGATGATTCCTCACTTGGGCACGGCTGCTGTGGGTCCTGGAGACGCAGGCACAGGAAGCAAATTCCTCCGGCATAAAGCTGGCCGTGCGGGCCCTGAGGTGGCAGCTTCCTGCTCCCAGAAGTGCCCCGACGGCCCCCTCTGTGATCTCAGCAGCAAGCATCCCTCCCTGGCTGTGCTCGGAGCCTTGCGCCGGGCCTGGCATGCATACGCTGTGGTTCAGGGCAGAGTTAGGGGGTCATTCATGGACGTGTCCGTGACAGAGAGACGGCCTCACACAGACTCCTCGGTGGACAACAGCAGTGGGTTGATGTACTCGAAGCCCTCAAACTCAGACTGGTCAATTCTCTTTATGGCGTCCCTGTGTGCAGGCAGAGAGCTTGTTATGCAGGACACACGCGGGGCGCCTCCCACCAAACCCACCCTGGGCAGCGGGGACACCGCTGCTGGCTCAGGACCACGCATCCTGGCACCCTAGTGCCCACCCTGCAGGTCTTACTCGTCGTCTGGGGTCAGCTGCACGGGCTCGCTGGTGAACTGTGTGTCGAAGTTGTCCAGACCATAGTCGTCAGTTATCTGCGGCTGGAATGGCGGGAGCGTCTGCTTCTTCTCCAGCTGGAAGGACAATGCTGGTCAGATCAGCACACGTCTGCCAGACTCGGCCTGCGTGGCCTCCCACCACAGCGGGCCGCTCAGCACAGGCGGGTGCATTCTGAGGCCAGGTGTGTGTCTTTCTTGAACAAGTCTACGAGAAAGTATCTGAAGTCAGAAGAATCCTACTTGAGTTGAAATAGGTAGGCTGTGTGGGTCCCAGGGGTGTGTCCCAGCAGGCCCACCACTCTGGCCAAATGTGGTTGGTGTGGGAGCTCTTTCCTTCTCAGCCTCAGGTCATAAAGGCGCTAGGTCTCGGCAGTGTGGACGGAGCCGACAGGGTGTGTCCGACTGACCTCATGGGCGTGCTCGTGGTTCTGACGCCCGTTTACAGACCTGACACATGCACAGAAGCAGGTGCCACTTAGTGCCACGATGCACATGCACAGGGACAGCGCGGGCCGCCTGCTCCAGCACTGGCGTACCTCCTGCCCTCCTTCCCTAGGTGTGCTGCACACCTGTGCAGGCCAGCCCTTCCCAGTACTGATGGAGCCACAAGAGGGGACCATCATGGAGTGGTCTGCTCCCCCCCACAGGCCACACATGAGGCCTGTCAGCGAGAGGAGCACAGGCTTGGGGCCAGCTCTCTGGGGCTCTGCAACCCCCCAGCCGTCTGGCCCAGAGCAGCTTAACTCACGCGAGGTGCTCCGGCCTTAGGGAGCAGCCACCACCTCCCTGCGGGTGACCAGGCCAGGAGGCCCTGATCTGGAAGCGCCGGCCTGTGCACGGCGCCACGTGGCCCCAAGACTCAGGCTCCATGTGACGGGCAGAACCATGGCCATGTTGAAATTAAGACCCCAGCCATGCTCAGCTCCTGCCCTCCTGCCTGCACCTGGGGGCCCAGAGCAGTCAGGACTCCGGTTCTGATGAGACAGATGCGCCGGCATGCTGAAACCATTGTGTGTTTTGGGGGCTTGTAAAGAAAAACACACACACGTTCCGATGAAGCAGAAGGGGCACCCAGAGTGGACGAGTTGACCCGCCCTCTGTCTGGAGCCGGCCCGACTGGGACACGCCGTCTCTGGCCACCAGGAAGATGCCAGGGAGGGTGCCGAGCAGAGGGGCCAGGGCTGCCTGGCGCGTGTGCCGTGTGTGCTGCGATGGAGCAGGGCTCCCGCATCACAGGGGCCCATGGCGTGACCATCACCCTCCACGTTTTAGATGCAGTTATCACACTCTGCTCAGGGTGAAGCATTTGCTGGTGAAAGGCAGGGAAAGGGCCACCGGACCGACCACCTTCCTACTCGGGCCTCTGGCTTTCAGAGATGTCAAGGCAAGAGTCAGAACACAAGGTGAAGCAGGCTCAGCCAGGTGCCACGCCAGCCCACCACCCACGTTGGCCCAGGGTCTGAGACCGCTGAGGCCTCCCTCCCTCATTCAGTGTCACTGTCCAGCTGGGCTGGGGGGCTCCAGTTCTGAGGTGGTAGCTGGGGCAGGGGAGCACAACTGTGCAAAGGCCCTGAGGCCTGCAGTTGGGCTGCCGAGAACTCAGTGAAGCCCGAGCAAAGGCAGGTGCCAGGCGGGAAGGGGGAACCAGCCAGTACGCGAGGGGCAGGGAGGCGGTGAGACCCAGGAGGCTGGGTGGGGTGGCAGAGCGGGGTCATGGGTGACCACGGGGCACGCACCCAAGCAAGGGAGGAGGCGGTGCTGCGCACGCTGTCCCACAGCTTCCTCCCTGACAAGGTCCTGGCACCCCTGCTTGGGCTTTTCTGGGTGTGAGGCGGCCCTGGGGAGGTCCTGGGCCCCACTCTCCTGGCTGCAGGGCCAGCACCCATTTTGCCAGGGGGCTTCCTCCCCTCCACTGTCCCCATGTCCCCCTCACAGAAGACAGGGTCCCCTCAGGTTCCCCGTGTGCTGTACTCTCCAGGCAAAGCACAGTGCCTGGGCCACCTGAGCAGGTCTGCACCCGTGAGCTGAGGGGGCTACTACCCACTTGGAGAAACCGGGGCGGGCAGGCACCCCACATGCCCCCTCAGGCGTCACTACGCTTTCCTCGTCTCACCAGAGTAACCCCATCACTTGTGTGCATGCCATCAGCCCTTACCCCCCATTATGGGGAGACAAGAGGGTGGAAGTGAGGCCAGGGCATGGCTGGCCCAAGCCCACACCTGGTCAGGCTTCTCAGTGAGGATGTGGTGGCCAAGGGCACTTCAGGGACACTGCACCACAGGCCAAGTACGGTCTGCCCAGGACCTGGCTGGGGCCTGTGGCCGTGCCCGCAAAGGCCTTCTCAGCTTGGTGGGTGACCGCTGCCTATCCGGCACCAGAGCCACTGTGCTTTGTGGAGCCCTAAGTGTGCAGGGGAGGGCGGGACTCCAGCTGTTGGTGCACGGCTGGAGCGGGAGGTGGGGTGCGCTCCCCTCCAGGCCACGTGTTCTGAGCACCCGAGTAACAGAGGCCAACCAGCACCCAGATCTCTTCTCTCTGGGGCCAGCAGAACAGTTATATGGAAACACCCAAAGTCACTTTCCCAAGAAGTGCCCAATTGCCAGCTAATGGTTCTCAGTGTTTGCATGCAGTGACCCCAGGGGGAGGACGGCAGATTCCATTTGGGAACAGCCAGCTGGGCCTGCACAGGGCGCGCTGACACCCCGCCTGCCCCCTGGCTGGGGCCCAGGACCTGCGTCCCTGCTCCCAGGCCCCACCAGCGGGGAGGGGCAGTGACTGAATGTCGACAAGAGCCTGCTCTGCCCATGGCCAGGCTGGACCCGCAGGCTTGCTTCTGATTCAGCTCAACTTAACACCCGACATTTACCTAATCAGCTGTCATCTTTTCTTTCTTAAGAGCTTATTGAAAGGTTCTATTTTAGCAACTGCACCCATTTATGTTTTGGGAACAACTGGGTTGTTTCCTTTTAATACTGGGAACAGCAGGACCGAAGTTGAATGGCACGAACAGTGTTGGCTGTGTCCCCAGGCAGTGTAGAGAATGGCAGGTTTTGGAAAACCAACCAGGAAACCAGGACGCCCCTGTAGGGTGTGCCGTGGCGGATTCCACACAGACCAGGTGGGCAGTGTGGTCCCAGGCCCAGCAGCAGAGCCTTGCAGGGACACCCAGGCAGGACTCTCCTCGTGGGCCAGGCATGAGCACCCACACCGCCTGGGCCAGAGGGTGTGTCCCCTGTATCCCTCACACGTATCCGCCCTGCCCCCCGTGCCCCGGGAGGGCATGGGCAGGGTCTTTACCAGGTCCCAGTCTATGGTGCGGAAGAACGCGTGAGACTTGATATCAGAAAATCCAGTCTGGGGCCGGCAGCCAAGCCGTTCTTTGGGGTCCTAGGGTTAGAGTTCAGATAAGCACAGGTCAGCAGGGAGCAGAGCAGCCCCGACTCAGCCCTGCTCAGGAGGGAGCCACCTGCCCCCCTCCATGCCTTCAAGGGCTTTGGTGGGCCGCATTGGCAGTCTCCCTCGATGATGGCCAGATGCCCTCCCTGAGATCTTCCCCATGATATTGGGCGTTTCCCCTCCATTTCTCAACATGTTTCAGCAAGCATGGCTGAAACCGGGTGCTTCCTAGACCAAGCTCGGCTGGGGCAGAGCCACGCCATGCCTGCTGCCCAGAAGGCTGCCCATGGGAAAGGAGCCCAGGCCACTGCTTGGTGTCATGAGCTTACCTTGTTTAAAAACCCTTTCAAGACGTGTGAGGCTTTGACGGAGAGGAAGCGGGGTATCCGGATGGGCTTCTCCAGGATGACTGCAAGGATGGGCGGTGAGGGCCCCGTGCCAGGGGGTCTCCCGGGGCCGCTCTGAGCAGGGCTGTGGGCTGCTTTTGGCGTCCTGGCCCCCCCTTCCTCCACCCAGCAGGCCTCCTGCCCTCGGGGACCCTTGTGCTCCCACGTGCCCATGATCACGAGCCAGCCAGCAGCGGCCCATGCACACGGGCGCCACAGGGATGACCAATTCCAGGCAGGTGCCCCTGCCTCTTGGTGGCAAGAAGCCCTGGCGAGGGTGGGGAGTACTGGGCGACACTGTGCTTGGGGAGGTCAGGGCAGATTCTCCCCCGGGCCCTGCGACCAGGTCTCTGCCTCCCTGGGAGCCAGTCTGCAAGGGCGGGGCTGCCTGGGGGGATGGGCAGGTACAGCTGGGCTGTGGGGACCCTTCCTTCTGCGGCTCTGATGTGGAGGCCACGAGGCAGGAGGCACCCACACACCTTGGAAAAGGTGGTCCTCGGTGTTCATGTCAGGGTTGTCGGCGATGATGTCGAAGGGGGACCGGCCAGCCATCATCTCGAACATCAGGACGCCCAAAGCCCACCAGTCCACGCTGAACCCTGGGGGTGTAGAGCCTGTCACACTGGCTGGTGGCCACGTGCACCCTCACAGGACAAGCCTGTCTCTGGGCTGTTACAACCCATCTGGTCGAGGCGGAAAGTAGCACGCGGCCATCTGCATTTCTAACCAGCGCTGGGGTGCGGCATGGCCAGCTTCTCCTGGCAGCCCGGCCTCCCTCCGCACGTCATCCCCCAACTGCCTGGGGCCCTGGAGACGGTGTCTTCTGTTTGCACATCAAGGCCATGAACCCTCCACCTGCAGAGGTTCACCTGACTTTTGAATTCTGCCTGTGGCACCTTCACCCACAGAGCCAGGTAAAACCGAGCCAACATCTGGGGCAGCTGCCCTGTCTCTCTCTCCTTTCGTTCATCTAAGCCGAAAAGACACTTCCTCTGAAAGCAAAATACTACATTTCTTCTGTATTCAAGGTTCTGGGTTTTCTGTGCCAGGGCCGGGAGTCTGACTCGGCCAGCTGCCTGGCGTCCAGGGCACGGTCTGCCTCCACTTCGTACGGGACCCGACGCGAGCTGGCTCTAGACCCTGTTCAGGTCCGCCCTCTGCTGCCTGTCCTTTCTCCTCTGGCCGAGGAGGCTTCAATCAGCAGGCACCCAGTTATCCAGAAGGACAAGTGACCTGTCCCCACTACTCCCCTTTCTTAATGGCAAAGAAGATGTTGAAAAATTTGATGGTACTTTTGTGACACGCTCCACTGAGAATACCGAGACAAAAATGTGCGGCGTGTGCACACGCACACATGCTTGCACACATGGGCACACACACTCTCTGACCCCAGTTTCCTCTCCCACAGCAGGAAGGCAGGCCGCTGTGTGCGTGCTCAAGGGCTGCCAGGCGGCCAGGCTATGGGGCTGTCCGCCTCCGGGTCCTTTCCCTCCCAGCCCCGAGGGCTCCTTGACAAGGGCAACCCTGTCCAATGTCCTCCCCCAGGGGACGTCTGAGTGGGTACATGGGACAACATACGAGGGCTGCTGAGGTACCACAGGCCAGGAATGAATCAAGCAGTGTGCAATTTAGGGGCAGTTTCGTCACTAAGGCCGCCTCCCTGGCAGCCACACTGGGTCCTGGAACCCTCGGCTGGATCCCCAGCACCAGCCCTCTCTGCTGCCGTGTCCCCAGAAGAAACCCCAGGGACAGGGCCGCACTCGTCCAGCTGGTGTGTGGGCCCCGCTGCAGCCCCCTGCCGGCTCACCATACTCCTCCCCCCGCAGGATTTCTGGGGCGATGTAATTCGGGGTTCCGCAGAAAGTGCTCGTCGTGTCACCAGGGCCCAGGCCTTCCTGTGGGGACAAAGTCAGCTACCAGCGGGGAGGAGAACCTCCAGATCAGCCCCAGTGCTGGGGGACCAGCGAGGACAGGCATCGGGGGTGCCGGGCAGCTCGCCTTGCACATGCCGTAGTCCGTGAGCTTGATGTGGCCGTCCGCGTCCAGCAGGACGTTGTCCAGCTTCAGGTCCCGGTAGATGATGCCCCTCTCGTGTAGGAAGTTGAGAGCGATACAGATCTCAGCAGCATAGAACCTGGGGGCGGGGACATCCTGCCATCAGAGAGAAGGTGGGTGGGAGCCTGGGTGAAGGGCCCGAGCAGGAGGTGCACTGCTGGCCCCGGTGTCCCCACACGGACAAGGGCACGGGGCCAACAGGACACACGGTACACAACATCCTGGTCACCAATCAAAGCTACAAGAGGCCACCTCACACCCACTAGGGTGGCCACTATCTGAAAACCTCAAACAGAAAACAAATGTTGGCAAGGACCTGGAGAAACGGGGGCCGAGGTGCACGGCTGGCAGGAATGTGAAAGGGGACGGCACGGAGGGTCCTCAGAAAATCAAACACAGGACTACCACGTGACCTGCAACCCCCCGCCCCCACTGGGTGCCCTCGGGACTGAAGCAGGGCCTCAGGGATCTGCGCCCACAGCAGCACGCGTCACACAACCAAGAGGTGGGAGCAACCCATGGGTCCACGGACATGGCGGTGAGCCACATGTGGTCCGTCTGCACAGGGGGTGTGATGCAGCCTGAGAAAGAAGGGGTGCTCCGCCCCAGCTGCAGTGTGGGGGACCCTGAGGACATGGGGCAGGGAGCCAGGCACAGAAGGACAAACCTGTGTGACCCAGTCACAGGCCGTCCCCAGGGGAGTCACACCCAGAGAGACAGAGGACAAGGTGTCCGGCTGGGGGCTGGGGTTTGCTGGGGACAGAGGTTCAGTGTGGGGAGATGGAAAGTTCCAGAGCCAGGCGGTGGGGATGCTGCACAACTGGGAATGAGCTGGATGCCCGAGCTGTGCACCTGATGACGGCCCCGGTGGTAAATTCCATTCTGTGTATTTTGCCACAATTTAGAAAAGGAGCACTGTGAGGGGAGTGAGCTGTTCCTGATTTTATTACCTGCTTTTCCCCAGAAAGGACCTAGGATGACTCACAAAACTGCATGGAATTTTTTTTTAAGTGAGGAAATGAGGAAAAGGGAAAACTATGGAAAACAGGAAAGGAGGAGGAGTGGAGATGACCACCCTCCACCCAGCGAGGTCCCGGGGCTGCAGAGAAGGAAGGGTGGGCATCCCTGAGAGTCGCTTACAGAACCGTGACTTCCTCGAGACAAGCAGACCCGTTTTGTGCCCTTGTATCACTGGGACAGGGGACGTGGGCCAGCCTACCACTGACTGGACTTGCTCCCCTGTTGTTCACAATGGGGAAGGCACCGGCCGCTGTGCACGCACACTCCCTGCGACCCCCGCCGCGCCCACCTGGCGTGCTCCTCCGGAAGCTTCCTCTGTCTCTGCATGTGGAACATGAGGTCCCCGCCGTTGACGTACTCTATGACCAGGAATAACCTAGTGGGGGAGAGGGCGGCAGAGGCTGGCTCCAGGGTGGGGGCCCTGCCCGCACTCCCTGGGAACAGAGCCACTCCTGTAGCCACTGGGCCCCTGCCGGCATGCCACTGCCCGCCCAAGGGGACAGACAGAGGCGACCGTGTCCCCTGCTCCCTCCCGGGGCCGCTAGGGAGAGCAGCCCAGGGCACAAAGGGAGGCTGAGGCCAAGGTCAGGTCCTATACCCAGGTCATCCAGCACCATCCTGGGGACACCTGGAGACCTGCCCACTGGCGGGTGTGCTCAGTTCTGACCTGACATAGCAAAACTGGGAGGGAAACAGACCACTGCATCCATGCCTCACTCCACTCTGCAGTTATTTGCTCACAGGGGTGGGGAGGGCTCTGTGCACAGGTGACCAGGTGACTGGGAAGGCCTCCCCAGGGAACAGAGGTGGGGCGGGGAGAGCCACAGGACTGCCCCAGAGGCCAAGGGGACCAGGAGGGCAGGTGCCTAGGCAGGGCGACGGGCCCGCACAGATTCCCGGAGGAGCCAAGGAAGCGCCGTCACCAGGTGAGAGCACGGACGGCGGGGGGCCGCGGTGGGGGCCGTGAGGGGCCCCTGAGGGGCAGGCCCAGCTGGGGGCAGTGGGCAGCACTGATCAGGCCTAGGTGAGTGTGAGCTTCAGGATGGTGGCTGGGCCGGGCGATCCTATGGCTTAAAGAACCGGCTGGGAGACGTCACCTGCATGAGCACCAGGCCCCTCAAGTCTCCGGACAATTCACCACGTGGTTTTCTCTTCCTCACACTTAATAAGATACCATTTTCAAGATTATATTCACACATGCAATTTTCCAGAAATACTCTGTTGAGGGTAGCTCACAGGTTTTTAGGTCAACAGCTCCTTTGGGGCGTTTCCAGCTCTGCTGTGCCCGTGTGGGGAGGGGGCAGGTCTGTCAGCGCCTCCCAAACTCTGGGCTGGCATCAGACTCACAAACCCCATGCCAGCACCAGCCAGGGGGGCAGAGGTCCCCAACCCAGGCTGGCGAACAAGCTGCACAGCACCCACGGGGCTCCACCTGCTGTCAGACTAGAAGCTGCTCCCAAATGTGCAGAAACGGAAGTCAGAGCCACTGGCTGGCAAGCTGTTTCTGTGCAAATGCGCACACAGCCAGCCTCGGTGGCCCGTGGCCATGGCCGAACAACCCAGGTAATTTGCCGATCGAGGATCTCACTTAATCTACAATGTCAACCGGATGTGGTGCAGCAGCACTTTTCTTCCTAGAGCAGCTGATACCGAAGGACTTCTGCACAGACGAATCTCAGTGCCACTCTGACATTTGTTCCGAGCCACGAGGTGCTGATGCACTAACAGGGATGCTCGCGTGACTCAGAAGAGCCGATGCTGTGACAAAATGCAGCGCCCACGGCTGAGCTGTCGGAGCTCGTGGGTACCTCCCACGTGGCGATTCCATATTCTTCCGTCCTGGGGCCCCACCGCTTCCTGCAGCCGGACCCGGCCGAGTCTCACGTGCAGGAGATGGCCTCGCCTGGAGTGGCGCGCCCCTCCACCCGCAGCCCCCGGGCCACAGGGCCAGCAACCTGCCGGGAGGCTGGGGGTCTTGCCAGGAAGGGGAAGAAGAGACTCCTGGGGTCAAGACGGATTGTTTCCTCAAGACTTAATGAAATGTGGGAAAACCAGTGGACAAGGACTTGTTAATACCAGAGAGAGGGGCAGAAACAGGCAAACAACTCCACAGACCAGGGGCCAGAGAAGGAAGCAGGACTGAGGAGCCATGGTCAGTCCCTGCCGTGGCCCCACTCCCACCCCTGGATGGGCACCTGGGAGACGGGGTCCCTCTGACGGACCTGAGGGCTCCAGGGTCAGGGAGGCAGGCCTGTGAACCTGCACAGGAAGCTCAGACCCTCGGCGTAAGAAACGGGCAGAGCTGCTTGGCACGGACGGTCGGGCACAGCCCTCTGCACGCCCCTGTGGGACGAACGCTCAGCCCTGCGCCTGGGCTTGCAGGGAACCCGATGGCACGGGGTCTGTGCGCTGAGACGGTGCCACACACCAGGAGCTACCATGTCTGCCCACCCCCGATACATGTAGATAGTTTTATTAACACCGTCACTGTCTGCACTGTCTATGGCTGCTGAGGCGCCACCATGAGGGGCTCCATTGGTAGATGTGGGGCACCATTCTAAGTACGTCTGTGTACTAGAATTTCACCTGTTAACCTTGAGGTATGTTCTGGCATTTTCCGTACTGTACAGATGGGGAAATGGAGGCACAGAGAGGCGGTAACTTCCCCAGGACCACAGCTCCTGTCTGGTCAGATCTGACACCGGAAGGCTTGGGGGAATCCAGAATCCATGTCTGGAAGCCCCCTGCGCAGGTGCTGTCTCCGCGGCACAGGGGTGACCGTCCCCCGGCGGAGCTGCCTGGCAGCAGGAGATGGGGGTGGATTGGAGGCAGGAGGAAGACAGTGGGTGCCCAGGCACAGGTGGCAAGGGACCAGAGAGGGAGGCTGCACCCCTACGGCTCGATTTGAGCACAGGGCACCATCTTTACCGAGCGGAGCAGACAGTGGGCCCGGCTGGGAAGGCTCTGCCGGAGCTGTGGGGCAGCCAGGTGCTGTCCACAGGGCAGGAGGCAGCGGCCCAGCCAGGTGCCCCTCAGCAGCTGTGGCCCACCGGTGTGCAAAGACAGTGTGTTTGCCCCACCCTCCATCCTCCTCAACACAGGACAAAGAGAGGCCCAGAACCTAAATGGCTGGGAGTCACCATTCACCTGGGAAGGATGGCGCCTCCCCGGCCAGGGCTCCATCAAGGGTTAGCGGCTCCAGGAGCTCCAGATGGAGACTAAGCAGACCAGGCTTTCGAGCGTCCCATTTGTCAGGAGAACAAAGGCTGAAATGGCCGCCCCCGCCCCGCTCTGCCGCGCATGACGCCTGCTCTTTCTATTCTGGGCCCAAATCAGATCAAGACTATAACAAACTCCTTGTGCTTTGACAGCACAGAGACCCACTTCTCAGGGAGGAAGGCACCTGCCCCCTCTAGGTGTGTAGGGGGACTCCGCCCATGCTCATGGCCGACTCGGCCTGTCCTGTCCTTGCTCGGCAGCCACCATGTCCCCTAGAGCCCCTCCATCACCCCCGCAGCCCCCCAGGAGGCACTCTGCCAACCTCAGCCTGACCCTGGCTCTCTCGCCTGCCTCCCACCACGGCTACTGTCACCACCTGACCTCTTGCCGATGGCTCTTGCTCCCTGGCCACAGCCACCACCACCCGCCGGGCACGTGCTCGCCTGCAGATCCCGAGGCCCTGTGACTCTCTTCATGGAGACCTCCGCATCACCCAGCAGCTGCCTGCCTGGTTGTCCTGGCCAGTCGTGCTGCACTTCTGGGCACCAGGTGACACATGCATCCTCCGCTCTGCTCTGAGCCCTCCCTCCCCGCGCCCAGCGGGTCCACCCCATGCCCTGACCCCAGCTGCCCCATTCTCCCTGGTGGACCGTCACCTTGCTGAGAATCCTGCCGTGGCCTCAGTCTCCCCAAGCTTGAGTGCCTGCTTTAGGATGTCCCACATCCTCAAGGCCCTTCCCTGGCACACTGCCTCCTCTGGGCCACATTCCCTCTCAGGCCTGCTGTGAGGCCCTCGGGCCAAGTCTGTCTCTCCAGGGCTGGCATCAGCCTCCACGCCTCCGAGCTGCCGTCTCCCACGGGCACACAGACGCAGGGTGGAAGCTGGGCACCGTTAAGAGGGTTCTTTGGGAAGAGCAAGTTAGCTGTAAATATCATTTGCTCCTCTGTGACCTGAGATCATGCTGAAGTGAGAAAAACGACGCCCACCTGCAATTTAAGGCAGGACTGGGGGCTAAACACGGTCAGTTCACACAACCTGTAGGTCATCCGCTCCTGTAACAGCTTAAACTGAAATGCTTTCCCAGGTCCGGCCACGACGCTCTGGCCTTTTGTCCCGAAAAGATGGGCTGTCTGTGCAGACGTGAAGTATGGCTTTTCCGTAACACAGGTATTTATTTTGTATGAAAAACACCACTTGTTTCATGTATTTGTACACATGTGGTGACATGAATGGTGAACACACAACCCGGGGATTCTGTGGAGCCGGCCAGTGAGCACAGAACACGTGACCAGAATGGGCAGTACTGCTTCAGGGGAGGGAAAAAAGAAATCCTATATTCTCCCCATTCAGAGACCCCCTTCCAGGTGCCAAGCTCTCGTGATGGCCCTGGGCCCCCCAGCAAGCCGCATGCCCGGAAGAAGCCAATAGCCAAGGGGAGTCCTCACAAAACCTGCGACTCCCCGCAGAGGCCAGGGCAGAGCCATGGGGTCCGGGGGGCTGTGTCACGACATAGTGGCAGGTCGGGAAGTGGCGGGCACTGTGCCAGCAGCCACCCGTGTCAGATCGAGGCAGCTGCTGGCTCTCGTTCCCTGCTGGGGCCCAGACACATGGCTACCTGCAGGTCACCTGTTGGCAGACACAGGCCGGCAAGGGGCAAGGCCTCTCTAGCCAGCCTTGCCGTCTACATTTTCACATCTTACGTCCTCATCCAGCAGTGACTGGGAGGTATGTTTCTGCTGCCGAAAGGAGGGGCTGGAGTTTGACCAGGTGCGGCTCCAGCGCCTCCAGGGCCTAAGTGGCACCTGTCAGGAAAAGCCATCTGGCCGCCCTTCTGCACTATCTGTTTCTACGGGGTCGTTTATTGCCTCTGGGGACTTCCCCGTTCTGGTACACCCAACTGGCAGCGACACAGGTGCGGCCGGCTGGTGGTGCCGCCGACCCCCACAGCAGCCTCCCAGCCAGTTCACCCCATGTGCACATTGTTCCCTCCCGCTCTGCCCACAGGTGGACTCTGACTCGCCTTTGAGCTGGCCTAACATCTCACTGGCCCCTCATAAATTAGTCACTAAGATCTGACGCATGTTTACTTTACATTTGCACCAAGGACACGACTGGGTCTTAAAAAATAAGATCCTTTAAACACCAAGACTGCCTATGAGGTGCCAGGTATGAACCAGATGCTCAGAGTACAAAACGCTGGCACAGCCCTGGCTCTACACAGTTTGCGCCCAGTGGGGGAGACGAGCACATATGTATAAATCCGGGGTTGTGGCATGTGAAAGATGCCCAAGAAAGCAGCCTGTCCTGACTGACCGAGTTTCAGGTGCTTCTAGAAGTTACTGGCAGGTTCTGTAGCATCAGAGCAAAGAAACTAGATGTGCATTTTACTCCTGGGATGTGACCTCTCCATCATGAATATTGAATGCTGTTGTGAGTCTAAACGTCAGCGTGAGAAGCAGCCCAGCGCATGGTTTGATTGCGGGAACACGGAAATACCTCCCCTGTGAATTCTTTTCAAGTTCTAACTTAAAATTCACACGCACCTGGGAACATGTGACCGATTCCCAGGGACATGATGCAGAAAGGTGGGGCTTAGGCGATGGCGGGGGCTGAAGCTCACATGTGACCTTGTGTGTCCACGTTCAACAAGGTCACTCAGCAGTACCAACCAACAGCCGGAACAACACTCGGGACTCAGCCTTTAGGACAGACGGCCATGGTCATGGCTAAACAGAGGCGCAGAGAAGGTGCCCATCATACAGCCGGGGGAACCCCGAGCGCCGCACTTGTCCAGTGGGCTCCGGGCAGGAGGGAAGGTGAGTGTGGCAGAAACGGACAGAGCACAGCCACCAGGGTGGGGCTGCTCACAGTGGCCCTGTGCACATGCCTGGGAGCCTGGACTGTACCCCAGAAGCATTTGGGAGAGTGGTCAGAGGAGCTTTGAGGCAGAGAGAAAGGGAGCGATCAGGGAGGGCACCATAGGTTCGGGGGAAGGGCCAGTCAATACTGGCGACATACAGGTGAGAACAGGCCGGATGAAAGTGGTGGGTGATGCACTGTGACCTTCAGCCCAGTGCTAAGCAAGGGTTCACATGGCAGGGCTGAGGCCCCGTCCTTAGAAAGGTCTGCCTGCAAGACTGCCCTTCACTGGAGTCTAAAACAGGAACGGTGAGCAGCTCCCTACGTTGATATTAAACTTCCCCTAAATGATCAGAGCAGCGTATAAACTGTGCATAAACAGTATGGTGTATGCTAAACACCTGCTTTCTCTCTGGGAGTCTGCAAGCTCAGTACGTGCCAGGTAGACGATGCCCTACTGCCCAGCCCCCGGAAAGCACCCTGAGTTGTCCAGACCCTCAGCCGGAGGCATGGAGCTGGTCCTGTGCGAGCCCACAGGAGATCCCTGAAGCTCGAGCACGGCTTCCTCCTGACCTCGCCCTGAGCCTTGTCCCTTTGCCGATTTTGCTTTGCATCACCCAGAAAGAGACCCTGTGCTGACTCGGCACAGAAATCCGCCTCCTGTCTGCAGTGGCATCCCAGCAGTTGGCCCAGTGCCTGTGCTCATGGAATGCTTTCAATAAGCATTTTGCAATAATTAAACAACAGGTTCAGGTGTATGAAATTTACTCAATACACCAGCCAATGAGCACAACAAAGCTGGTCTGATGAACCAAAAGGCCTCTCCACACTTACAACCAGGAGGACAATGCGGGCGGCTGGGGACACCCCAAGCCAACTCAGCTCCCACAGCTCGAATCAGAAATCAGCAGAGTCCCAGCAACACCCTCTTTTTCTTACCGACTCGTTGTCTGGAAACAAGAGTGTAAGCCGACTAGGAAAGGGTTGCTGGATGCCTGCTCGAACACGTGCTTCTCGGTCTGAACCCAGTCGATATCCTGGAATAGAAACCGGGGTGTGTGAGCAAGCCCCCTCAACACCCTCCACAGGCATCCTGCAGAAGGGGACGCAAGAGCCGACTCGCCTCTGCCCACAGGAAGACAGTGCAGAGGGGAAAGGGAACACCCACTAGGAAATGCAGCCCCACCATCACCTCTCATTCATTGCCCCTCTACCGCCCACTACCGTCACCATCTGTCACCACCCCCACCACCCTCACCAGCGGTGAGCTGGCCTTTGAGCTATAGGATCTCCATGCTCGGCCTCGTGTCCTCCCCATAGTAGGTGTGAGCTTGGGATCATCTTCTCTGCTTAGGACACGAGGACACGAGGACACGGAGGGTGACGGTTAAGCAGAGTCCCTGTGCCCTGGGCCCCACACCTGTCTCCTGAGCAAAGCTCCTGCCCCAGGGCCGTCTCCCTCCCAGTCCCAGGTGCACCTGGGGAAGGGCTGCAAAGCCAAGCTGACGTCAGAATTGAGATGCTTCTGCACCTGTGGTTCTGTTCCAGCCTCGGGAGCCTGGCGGGATGAGGTCCCCACACACTCCCAGGTCAACCCTCTCACCCCGGGGTGGGAAAGGGAAAGGGGTGTGTCAGAAGTGGTGCTGCCTCCCCCAAATTCTGGAAGTGAACCAGCAAATTCTCAGGAAGCCTCCTTCAATGGGCCAAAGACCATGCAGAGTTTGTCCTCCTGGGGCGCCGTCCTCAGCACCCCCACCCAGGACACCCTGTGGGTGCAAGAGCATCAGACCCACGTGTCCCTGTCCAAACGCCTGGACTTTCTTCTCCAGACCTGTGCACATGAGGGCTGCCTGCATCGTGCACTGCAGAGCAGGCCTGACACACAGCTCTTGGCCAGACCAGCCATCTGTCCCCAAAGACACCCAGTCACTTAGGTGCTCAGGCCAATGACTCTGGTAGGCTGCAGAGCACCGCTGACCCCGCCAGAGGAGCCAAGCCGCCGGAGCGCTCACAGGGCCGTAGCAGCCCCCTTCCTCCCTGCTACACTCCAAAGGCCGACCTGACAGCCACAGGGCCCAGGGGCACATCTTTCCTGGGGTACTGTCCAGCCCACAGAGCCGCTATCGCCTGACACACGGCCACGGGACACCAGTGCTGCGCACCACAGGCCCACTCTTCGTCACGTTCTTCCCGAGGGACCTCCCAGAAGCCCCACATCTGCACGCTGGCCTGCAGTGGATGATGTGCAGAGGCCAGGATGACGCAGAGCAGTGACTCTCCTAACTACCTCGCCAGAGCTACACGAACTGATCTCACACGTTCATTAACCTTCTGGCCGCCTGGGGTGCTCAGATGGGGCTTGGAACCACCTGAGCAGCCGTGAGGACACGAGCAGGGCACCTCACCCCTCAGAGCCTAAGTTTCCTCACTTGTGAGGCACGGACACCACCACTCACTTGTAGCTCACCACTCAGGGCTGGGGGGGTCAGGCAGGCAGGCTGCCCACTGCAGAAACGCCCCCCAGTGGAAGCGAAGGTAAAACCTCCAGTTCAGCCCCAGCGCTGCTCTGAAACCATGAGCCTGGGCCAGCAGAGGGCATGGGGGCACTCCTGTGATGCCCTGGCTCCATGCCACCAAGTTGCCCCACATGCTAACAGCAGCATATCAGTTACAGCATTACTGCTGTCTGTGTATCAGACTTTTCTCTGCTTCTAAGAGACAAAACCTGCACTCTGGTGGGAAAGACAATGACCAAAAGGACAGGGAGCCAAGAAGTCCACGGGAAGCGCTCACCAACATGAGTCAGTAGGGGGCGCAAGTCAGACCACAACGAGACGCAGCTTCAAACCCACTGGGGCAGGAACGATCCTGAACCAGGAAACAGCCCTGGAAAGGATGCACGGAGATCAGGACCGGCGAGCGCTGCTGCGGGGCAGGCGGACGGTGCAGCTGCTGAGGAACAGCAAGGCGGCTCCCCACAAAACAATGGCCCCGGGACCGGGGCAATGAAAACAGACTAAGACACCTGTATGTGAACGTTCAGAGCAGCGTTGGTCACAACAGCCAAAAGAGGGAAAAACTCAAATCTCCATCAGCAGATAAACAGGTAAACCAGACGTGGTTCAGTCCCAGGTGGAATGTTAGCCACGAAAAGGAACCAAATTGTGATATACACCGTGGATGGACCCTGAGAACATACAGAGCGAAGAAGCTGGACACAAGAGGCTACATGTGTCATGACATCATTTACGCGAAGCATGCAGACCAGGAAGTCCTCAGACCGAAGGCAGACACGTGGGGGCGGGGGGCGCTCAGGGAGGGGGCTTCCCCAAGACCAAGACATCCTGCACCAGGACAGAGGTGACCGGCCCGAATGCCACGGAGACACATTCTTGAACGTGGTTGAAGTGACACATTGCATCATTGGCATTTTACTTCCATTGAAATAAAAGAGCACCCAAAGGCTGCCAGTTACCATTCCATAGCAACCATTAGGGACGCGAGACGCCAGGAGAACCTGGTACAAACCAAAAACCAGAAGGAGGGCTGAGTGAGGCTGAAATCACCGAACTTCCTGATAAAGATTTCAAAATTAAAATCATAAACATGCTCATGGAGCTACAGAAAGATATTCAAGGCCAAAGGGAGGACGTTAAGAAAGAGAAACTTTGAAAAATACAGTATCAGAAATGAAGTATACAATGGAGGGATTTAAAAGCAGATTAGATGAGGTAGAGGAGACGGTAAATGGGATAGAAATTACTGAATAGGACTACAAAGAAGCTGAGGCACAGAGAGGAAAATGATCTTTTGGGATGAAAGAATATTGAGATGACTATGTGACCAATCCAAACAGAACAATATTCACATTATAGGGGAACCAGAAGAAGAGAGAAAAAGGGATAGAAAGTGTCTTTGAGGAAATAATTGCGGAAAACGTCCCCTATCTGGGGAAGGAAAGAGTCTCTCAAGCCATGGAGGTGCAGAGATCTCACAACGCATGAGACCAGGGGAGGACAACACCAAGACATATGATAATTAAAATAGCAAATATCAATAACAAGGACAGAGTATTAAAAGCAGCGAGAGAGAGAAAAAAGATAACCTAAAACAGAAAACCCACTGGGCTATCATCAGACTTCTCAGCTGAAACTGTACAGGCCAAAAGGGAGTGGCATGACATATTTATTGATTTATTAATTTTTATTTTCTATCATTAATGTACAATTAAATGAACATTATGGTTACTAGACTCCCCCTATTATCAAGTTCCCAACACATACCCCATTACAGTCACTGCCTATTAGCGAAGTAGATGCTATAGAATCACTACTCGTCTTCTCTGTGTTGTACTGCCTTCTCCGTGTATCCCCAACTACATTATATGTACCAATCACAGTGCTCCTATTTCCCCCTTATCCCTCCCTTCCCACCCATCCTCCCCAGTCCCTTTCCTTTGGTAACTGTTAGTCCATTCTTGGGTTCTGTGCTTCTGCTGCTGTTTTGCTCCTTCAGTTTTCTTTGTTCTTATGCTCCACAGATGAGTGAAATCATTTGGTACTTGTCTTTCTCCATCTGGCTTATTTCACTGAGCACAATACCCTCTAGCTCCATCCATGTTGTTGCAAATGGTAGGATCTGTTTTCTTTTTACAGCTGAACAGTATTTCATCGTGTATATGCACCATCTCTTCTTTATCCATTCATCTACTGATGGACACTTAGGTTGCTTCCATTTCTTGGCTATTGTAAATAGTGCAGCGATAAACATAGGGGTGCATATGTCTTTTTCAAACTGGGCTGCTGCATTTGTAGGGCAAATTCCTAGGAGTGGAATTCTTGGGTCAAATGGTATTTCTATTTTTAGTTTTTTGAGGAACCTCCATACTGCTTTCCACAATGGTTGAACTAGCTTACATTCCCACCAGCAGTGCAGGAGGGTTCCCCTTTCTCCACATCCTCACCAACATTTGTTGTTGTTTGTCCTTTAGATGTTGGCCATCCTAACTGTTGTGAGGTGATATCTCATTGTGGTTTTAAATTGCATTTCTCCGACGATTAGGGATGTGGAGCATCTTTTCATGTGCCTGTTGACCATCCGAATACCTTCTTTGGAGAAATGTCTGTTCAGCTCCTCTGCCCATTTTTTAATTGGTTTATTTGCTTTTTGTTTGTTGAGGTGTGTGAGCTCTTTATACAATTTGGATGTCAACCCCTTAACATAATTTATGAATACATTCTCCCATACTGTAGGATGTCTTTTTGTTCTACTGATGGTGTCCTTTGCTGTACAGAACCTTTTTAGTTTGATATAGACCCACTTGTTCATTTTTGCTTTTACTTCCCTTGCCTGGGGAGGTATGTTCATGAAGAAGTTGCTCATGTTTATGTCCATGAGATTTTTGCCTATGTTTTTTCTAAGAGTTTATGGTTTTTTCATGAATTAACATTCAGGTCTTCCATCCATTTTGAGTTTATGTTGGTGTATGGGGATAGACAATAATCCAGTTTCATTCTCTTACATGTAGCTGCCAGTTTTGCCAACACCAGCTGTTCAAGAGGCTGTCATTTCCCCATTGTATATCCATGGCTCCATTATCATATATTAATTGACCATACATGCTTGGGTTTATATCTGGGCTGTCTAATCTGTTCCATTGGTCTATGGGTCTGTTCTTGTGCCAGTACCAAATTGTCTTGATTACCGTGGCTTTGTAGTAGAGCTTGAAGTCAGGGAGCGTAATCATGAGCATGGGATGTGTTTCCATTTATTGGTATCTTTTTAAATTTCTCTCATGAGTGTCTTGTAGTCTTCAGTGTATAGGTCTTTCACTTCCTTGGTTAGGTTTATTCCTAGGTATTTTATTCCTTTTGATGCAATTGTGAATGGAATTGTTTTCCTGATTTCTCTTTCTGCTAGTTCATTGTTAGTGTATAGAAATGCAACACATTTCTGTGTATTAATTTTGTATCCTGCAACTTTGCTTAATTCAGATATTAGATCCAGTAGTTTTGGAGTGGATTCCTTAGGGTTTTTT